TTCGAGTTAAGTTTATGTTTTTTTTCTACCGTGAAAATTTTTAAGAATTGTCTTTTCATACCGTATACTAATCAGTGTATTTCCTCAATCAACCAAAGTCATTTGAGGTTGAATCGACTCGTAGATGACTTTGTGAAGACGGCTGTCAAGAACAGCTAGCAGCATATTGTAAGGAAAGCGTATAGAGGTTCACATATACATACTAAAACACACACTTATCTTCTCAAACGCTTACACAATTTAAACTGGCCCTGAGAAAGGGTAACTACGTCAGGTAAACAGGCACGTATGTAACGTGCATAATTCCTAATGACGTCCTTAGGGTAAGTGGGCCGATTACCGTCATTACGGATCGTTCAAAGTTTTTGTGCGCATGAGTATATGAGGCGGTTATTTTTCTTTAATATCACCTAGGGTTTACCGATTTAAAGTTTTAAAATAATTATAACATTTTTAATTAAAAAATTCGACCTCAAAATTTTGTGGAATTACGACTATTTGCCAAGTTTTATTGAAATTGGCTATCGGAAAGTGCGTGAAATGGATTCATCCCCTTAGAGGTGGAATATTTTTTGAAATTTGAATGGAAATACTACTGAGGCACCCCCTTTCCAACAAAAAAAGAATTATTGAAATCGGTTCACAAATGTCAAAGAAATTTCGTAACGTACACAAAAAAAAAACAGTACTGTCAAATTGAGAAACCCTTTTTTTCACGTCCGTGAATAAATCGCTATTTTTTTATAAAGAAACATTCCAATTTACGCTACATGTTTTACACATTATTTTATTTTAACAATATGAATTTTTATTAAGTTAAATTTATTATTGATTAATAATGGAAATTAGAATGACTGTACCACCTCAATCAACCGTGACCATGGGACCTGTAAAGGGCCGAAAAGTTCGTTTGTTTGCAAAAACAAATATACGCAATTTAAATCCGGAAAAATAGTTTCATTTCCTAAGTGTAACAATCTCGAAAACCTGAGAACTCGATAGGATCAGACTGCGTTTTTCTGAAACGCACTCGGAGGACGAATGATGCTCACTTTATTACGTCATAATGTCGTAATGGTTTCACAACCTTTACTTTCAACAACTAGAATTTATAATGTAAATTATCCATAATTGGCTGTTGTAAACAAAATTGCATATAAAATTAACTGCGACTTTAAACCTAGTTCGGATTTAACGATGAATGTGTAGGAAGTTAAATAGACACTTCAATTACGTTACGTAAACAATATTTTTTAATCGCATTACATTTGGGTTTATGTTATAAGCCTTCTAGCTGTTTTACTTGAAAGCAAGTTTAAAGTTCATGAGTTAAAATATGAAATCGTATTATATTTTCGCAACATAAGAAGGAGCAGTAGAGTTCTTTGTGAAAGAGTTCGTCTAGGGGAGTATTGCCATCTTACCTATTTCTGCCTCCAAGCTGTTGGTAATGTGAGTATTACTACGTTCCAGTTTTGAAGGGTTAGGCTGCCTTTCCACCAAATATGTGCGATGTAGCGAGGCGGTGCGAGGATGTGTGGCGGCGCTGTGAAACGGTGTCATGTTTTCCACCAAAGCTGTGCGAGGATGCGTTACGTACTCTTTTCAGCTATGCACGGGCGGGGTACGGAGTAGGGTGGGGTGATCGGTAGCGATGTGTCAGTGTCAGTTAGTGTCATACAGTGTTGCCAGGTCTACTGCTTTTCCAGTAGATCTACTGTTTTTAGACGACATCTACTGTTCTACTGCTCACTGCTACAGATTTTTCACTTTTCACAACTATTCTTGTCGGCTTTTTAGTTTTCATGAATCGTTTTTTCCATTTACGACGTCGTACTTCATGTTTTTGGAATGAAAGTTTAGAGCACATTAAATAAAAAAGTTTTGTAAACTGTTTTTATTGGATAAAATAGGTACTTTATGCACTCCACTGAATGATTTTTTTTTAGTTGGTCCATAAATGTATCTACTAAAATCTTTTACGTGCACGCATTTAGCATTAACGTGATCTCAACTGTGACTCTAAATATATTGAACATTTGTCAGAGTTTTTGCAAAACTTTACAATATGGTCAAATCATAGAACATCGTCCTTTAATTTTTTTTTTGGTATTTCGGCTTATTTGTCAATCACAAGGGAAGGGAAGTAACATCTATGGTATTATTATCCAAATACAATTTTTATTGTCAGATACCAACATAGCAAGATAACATGAAAAACATTAAAAATCGATTATAAGTGTTTCTAACACCGTAAGTTCAGCATCTATTCTACTGTTTTTTTCCTCAATCTAGCTCTAGTTTCCTACACCGTTTTGCACACATTCCTCGCCCGCATCTCTCGCACACATTCCTCATACACATCACTCGCTATTTTGTATGTACAAATACTTAGCTCCGCTAACCCTTCTCTGAAGAGGCTGCGCTAAGCGAAGCTAGGAAAATGAAGTAATCCTATTGGTGGATTTTTTCCTCGCACACCGCCTCGCTACGTCACACATCTTTGGTGAAAAGGTAGCCATAAGGGGCGAAATTACAGTCAAATGGAATTTTTCAACTGATGTCTCAGGGTGACGTCAACTTGGGCCAATTGCACTATGAATTCCTAACCGATGCCAGAGAAGTCTGGAAGAGGCATATAGACCAGCTGCCTGGCGACCAGAGCTCCTTGTAAGAGTTTGTCCATCCGGATTCATCTTCTAATATTGGAGGTGGAATTTTATGCAAATTTGAATGAGATTACTCAAATTGGCATAAGATCCTTTTTGAAGTCGGTTAATAAATTGTTATCATTTTATATAAGTTAGGGTTGTAGCAGCAGAGCTCCTTGTGAAAGCATTCGTCCAAGGGAGTACTGTCGTCTTACCTATTTCTGCCGCCAAGCATTAATGTGATCATTTCTGCGTTCCAGTTTTGAAGGGTATGAATGTTATGGACAGGCGTGTCGCTTACCACCAGGGGTACGACTTGGTCGTCACATCACTGGTACTTATTATAAAAAAACCGGACAATGTTAGTAGAAAAACATTAGAAAACAGAATTTCAAATTAAATTTATTACAAATTGGGCACCCTTAACTTGCTCTAGCCAATATTTTAAGGTAGCATAATAATAATCTAGCCGCGATAGCATGTGACCTCGTATAACCTCCTTACATCGTCATCCCACCCTTTTATCTGGTTCCTGGCCACTTGTTTTAAAATTTTGAATAGTTCGTTATTTCCTTTGCCTCGCCATTTTCTATTGTTTCGTTCCGTCGTTCCTTCCTTGCTCAATCGCTGTAGCGAGCAGTTCGACTGTAATTTTTTCACAATTGCGTCTAATTTTGATCATTTTACTATTTCTCACCCTAATCATGTGCCAATTACTGTTGCTTTAAGGTAAAGAAAATTCTCCAAGAAGCTCTTCAAAATATGTCCTATGAGGATACAGAGAATTTATTTATTATCGTAAAATAAATGTTGTCTTGTTTAAGTGTACATTTTTTGATTGGCAATTTATTGTTTAATTGTTTAATTTTATTTCATAAGATTCTCCTAAAAAGTATTTATAATATTAATAGTATCCACGTTTATAATTAGTAGTACTTTTTACCTGAAATACAGGAATTTTCTAGTTCAGGTACATGTGTTATTTTTACATTAAACCGCATAAGTAGTCTTTAGTTTTCTCTGTACATTATGTTACTAAATAAACAATTTTATTTATTTATTTTATTATTAATTTTAATGTTAATACCAATCTGTAATTCTGTATAACTCGGCCCTTTTGGGGTAAGTGTAGAGATGCCACGAATATTCGGCTACTATTCGGTACTCGACCTATTCGGCCGCTTTTTTAATATTCGGATATAACCGAATACCAAATAATGAAAAAGGGCACATATTATTCCAATATGCATCATGCATTTTAATCACAAATTATTATTTTAATATTTAAAATTAATCAGCAGCAAGCAATTTTTTCAGCATTGGTTGGCCTTTTCGTCATAAACAATTCTTACTTCTGAAAATAGCTTCTCACCATAAACACTACTGCCAGGAGACGATAGATAAATCTTAGCATATTTTCGGCAGGCTTGGGTACTGCTTTGCGTTTGCTGACCACTTGTAAGGATCTGCCGTCCGATCTAGGCGAACAGTTTTCAAATAAAAATCAATCTCTTGTGGAATAGAAATTTTCTCCACATATCGTCATCATTTTGCATATTATCTGTAGCGACTTCTTCAAAATCAGTCCAGAAACTGTCATGTATTGATTCTATCGTTTTACATTTTTCACGCAGCGCAATGAGACAGGTCGTAACAGGTCGCGTGTGAAATGCATAGATCTTATGCCGACATTCGGCAGCCGAATATTCGGCGCTTCGGCCGAAAGCGTTTCCGAATATTTGGTATTCGGACAAATCACTATTCGTGGCATCCCTAGGTAAGTGTCTACTTTATATTCGCATAAGCATATCCGTATCTAATTAACTTAGGTAGTGATTTACAGTATTGTACCTGTGTTTTTTTAAACAAAATATACCTTTTTTGTTACAGCCTTTTTTTTCTTTTTTTTTCAAACTATCGAATAAATTTTTGTGGACCGAAGTATCCTGTTTTATTGCCGTTATCCTGGTCAAGGCATATTAGTGGTTTTACAACCTTTTCAAGCATTTCTACCTCAAGTCTTCTAATTTTAAATCATCTCAGTTGTGCGAAAGAGTATCAATTTGGTACTCTGCTACTTCACATTACTGATTGGCGGTAGAAGTAATGGATATAATATAATATAATATAATATAGTATAGTATAGTACAGTACAGTACAGTACAGTACAGTACAGTACAGTACAGTACAATACAATACAATATAATACAATATAATATAATATAATATTATATAACATTATATATAAATAAATAATAACGAGCTGTTTACTGCTACTATCCGAACCCTACTTACATTACAATTTATGCGTGACAGTTTTATGTGTATGAGTTATAGACGTTACAATACCTGTCGCTCTGGTATAGCTCAACTGAAGAATTGAGCTCAGCCAGCTGCTCCTTGAGGAGTTGCAGGTTGGAGTTCACGAAGCTCAGCTCCAGGGCCACAGTCTCCCGCAGTTTCCTGTTTGTAGTCGCCTGAAAAACATATTTTGTGTCAATCATCATTTTTATTGATACATTTTTGCGTTTATACATTACAAAGTCAAATAATCTATGTTTCATAGGTAAGCAAATTACAGTTCGTCGGCTAAATTGGCAAACGTCGTAACCTTTATTAATGTGACCTTTTGAATAGGTACAAAAAACAGAATTACTACATAACAATCTATGATTATACTTTTAAATTATAAAGAAAAAACGGTCTATAAAATATATTATAAGCTTGAATTGCCAAAATATTGCGCTTGAAGAGTAGAAATGGGATGGCTTCCAGAAACCGAGTTACAAGGTTCTTCAATTTTGAAGCAGTAGAGCTTGTGAAAGAGTTCTTTCAGGGAAGTACTGCCACCTTAATTACTTCTGCCGCCATGCAGCAATGTGAGCATTACTGCTTCGGTAGGAATGATGGTGAAATTACAGGCCATGGGAGTTGTCAACTTATGCCTCAGGGTGACGGGACGAACAAGCCTGATGGTAAGCTACACGCATGTCCATAACAGTTGCCGTGTCACTCAGAGCTTTAAACCGTAAAGATCTGAGGGCACTGCCCCTGCGCCCGTCACTCTGAGACATAAGTTGACAAGTCCCACGTACCTGTACTTTCACCAGCACCATTATTACCCTTCAAAACTGGAACGCAGTAATGCTGGCATTACTGTTTAGCGGCAGAAACAGATAAGGTGGCAGTACTTCCCTGGATGAACTCTTTCACAAGGAGGTCTTCTACTGTTACTAAAATATAAACGATTCTTTGAATTTGACATAAATAAAAAAAAAACTCAGAGGTGCAAGCCGGATTCGGAAACCACGACCTCTGCTTGAGAGACGGTAGGTCAAACCGCTAGGCTAGGCTTTTTAAACTACTTTACGGCTCAAATACAAAATACATATTTATTTTCCAAATACGTATTTCTAGTACATAATAATGCTGCTGACAGATCTCGCAATCACAAGTAACGTACGCTCAAAGATCTTCTAAAGTACATATTTACCTAACAGCTGACAACGCATTTGCGATCTTAAACTTACTAACATAGTCGAGTTCTTAGGTTTTCGCGATTGTTACACATAGGAAATGAAACTATTTTTCCGGATTTAAATCGCGTATATTTGTTTTTTCAAACAAGTCTGCAGTCTGCGAGCATGTCATGGATAAACCTACACATTCAATGAAGTTTGACAAACCCCAGGTCCTTGCAAAAGAAGTCCGTTATCTGCCCAGGATGCTGCGAGAGGCCATTGAAATTAAAAAAACATCCTAATTTCAACAGGGAAGATGGTTTCTCCGTACCACCAGTTTGAGATCCAGTATTTCCTCTAATGAAAAATCCCAAACAGACATAAGACTGCAGTACTAATTAATATGTTTTAGTTTATTCTAATTTCTATTAATAATTAATAATAAATTAAACTTAATAAAAAATTAATTCAATAAAATAATTTGTAAAACTTAATGTAGCGTAAATTGGAATGTTTCTTTGTAAAATTAAAAATAAGGTATTTAATTAATAACTATTGTAACTATAGTGAAAAAATAGGGTGGTTTGCATTAATACTAGACCACCTCAGTCAACCGTGACCATGGGACCTGTAAAGGGCCCGAAACGTCGGTTTGTTTGAAAAAACAAATATACGCGATTTAAATCCGGAAAAATAGTTTCATTTCCTATTACTAACATAGTGTTTCAAATGTCTGTAAGCGGCAACGAAAAGTGGTACAAGTGGATTTTTACACAATTTTACTTGAAATTTAGACACAATCCGTCATTACTATGATCAACCAGTAAATTGAATAAAGTACCGTATACAATAGTGAAAAGAAAGCACGTTAACTAAGAGGAATGCCTGTTAGATGTTCCCAAGGTCAGAGTTCACGGACCGACTAAGAAAGGGTGTCACGGAACAGCGCGTGCGCATGGTCCGGCCGGTGCGCCGCCGCCAACTTAAATTTACACGTAGTGAAATAGGGAAAGATATAATAAAGTACTTATGACGAAAACTTTTATTCTTAAGTGAAGTTAGAATTAGAACTTTCTTGGTGGTTACCCACTGCTGGACGCTCTCCCGAGTGTTTACGCCATAGTGCCACACGTCCCACGTTTTCTGAGAGTTGTAAACCTTCTTCTACGTGCTCCTTCACCGAAAAGCTAATGGTAAATTTCAAATTTAAATTTCGCGCTAAAATTCCGAAGAACTCAGAGGTGCGAGCCCAGATTCGAACCTAAGACCCTTTGCTTGAGAGGCGGTAGGTCTAACTAACCATTAGTATATCTCAACCATAAAATCGTAGTAATATCAATCAGTTCTTTTAGGAACAGACACTACAAAATAAAGTGCCTTCTAGACCTAATCGCATTATAACATATCTTAGCTCGTATCGGGTAAGTACAAAACAATCGTCGTGTGCTATTTAAAGAAAGAAATGAAAGAATTCGCCCGAGAAGTACACCTCACCTATTTCTGACGATAAGCAATAACCTAAGGACAATTCACATTAGACCGTGCCGGGCGCGAGCCGAGATACGTACGAGTCTTGGATTGGAAATGCTGCGTACATTTTATATGAAGTGATCGACATTACAACGTGCCGCGTCTGAGGCATGGACAAGCGCGAGCTGCTTCCGAGCTCATCCGAGTCTCGGATGCGGCCATGTGAACACTCTCTGATTCTGTCTAGTTTAAGATCGTGCGGCACGTACGATGCTCGGATGCCTCGGACACGGTTTAGTGTGAATCATCCTATACTATTTACGTTTTTGAAATGAAAGGTTGCTGGTGAAATCATAGGCTCATGGGACTTGTCTTGGAAGTTTGTCTCGGGGCAGCGGGCCTCATATCTTTGTGGCACTGCAACTGTTACAGTTCCCCGTATAAGAATAGTTTACCTTAGTTAAATGAAATCATGGTAGTGGTACCATGAGTTTGGACTTAGTTCTAAGATTAATATTATGGATGTCTTCTTTCTTACAGAAAATTATATATATTTTTACGAGACGAAACCCTAAACGGTGCATAGAACAAACCGCTTGTTTTTGCAAATATGCAGTACTATATGAATAGCCATGTGGTGCAACCTTATGAAGTTCCTCGAGCTAGTATCTAAAACTTTTGGTAAGCGACTTAAATGTAACAGCATAAATAAATTTGTAACGGTGTACCAATAATAAATCATTGTTGCATTGTTTCGTTCTTTAGCGTCAGTGTTAGGTGAATGTATTGTGAAAAAGTTGAGATCAACTTACGTTTAGTAGAGGGGCTTACTTACTTAACTTCAGTTGTTTTTTGTAATTAAGTAGTTTTAGTCAGAGCGTTTAAAGTTCGATGACAGCTGAAAACCGTTCAAAAAGCTCAACTGATCTTCTTGATCCTCAACACTTAATCAACCTCCGTGACACGGAAAATAAAATACAATAATAATACTTCTTCCAAATTTTACAAGAAAACCGCTGCGTTCAATAGGTACGTTACATATACCAATTATTTTTTAAGTATACTATAATGATAATGATAATATATTTATTGCAGTTTACATAATATAAATAATACAAATTTTACATTATATTACGTATACATGTAATACCCTGTAAGGGCATAGCAATATAAAAACTTATAATATGGTTTAATTACATTTCAAGCCCTAGCAATAATTATTGTTACAAAATTTCTTATTATATTTCTTATCATATATATAAACATATTATTAATTGTACAATTATGTGTTACACTAGTTTTAATTAGACGATAATAACATTTCATTTACACCATTATATAACATTTTATCTACTTCATTTTATTTATTTATTCACATAGGTACAATGAAAGACATATGAATCCTGTAATATGGATATGATAATAATGGACAGCAAAATAGGAATGAGGCAGATCAACGCTATAGTAATTTATCATCCAGATATTGTTGCAATGTATAGTAACTTTTATTAGAAAGAATGTTTTTTAAGTTATTTATGAAAATACTTGTTTTATTTTCTTGCTTTATATGCTCCGGTAGTTTGTTGTATATTTTTATCGACATTGAATATGGGCTCGATCTATGCATTTCCAATTTTGAGAACGGTGTTACGAGATTATTTCCGTCTTGGTTCGTCTCTCAGTTTAGTGTAAAATTGTGGGTACTTTTTTATAAATATGCAAACTTCCAAAATGTAAATTGATGTTAGGGTTAAGATTTTGTATTTTCTAAAGAATGGTTCACAGCTCTCTGTTCTTGATATAATAAAAAATCATTAGTAAATACAGGTATGTACGAGTAAATGTGATGTACACTGTTCAAATTTTTCAAATGGCTTCAATTTCGTGAAATAAACCCAGTGTCCCTGTCGCTAGATCTAAGTAAAAAACGAACCGTATTCGTATACGGGAAAACTTTGAATTCGAGTTGAGATAGTATCGATTCTTACATGTAGGTATGTAAGCCCATAAGGGACAACACTACGTAAACAAAATAGACAGCACTTTGAAAGATATTCATATCGCACCGCTTTTACAATAGTGTTGTAACAAAAATATGTGAAATTCGAGATAGTTTTACTAGTGTTGAACGTAAAATCTGATCTCTACACGTCAATACAACCGTTATTAGAATATTGTGAGAAACAATTAAAAGATATTTACTTAACTCAAAATGAGAGAAACTTTTTCTGTACAAAACAGTCTTTACTCAAAAAGATGAATTGATTTTTCCCTTTTACACATAGGAAATGAAGCTATTCTTCCGGATTTAAATCGCGTATATTTGTTTTTTCAAACAAACCGATGTTTCGGGCCCTTTACAGGTCCCATGGTCACGGTTGACTGAGGTGGTAATATCTTCAACCAGTTATGTCTAATATTAATTGCAAACCACCTTATTTTTTCAGTTTAGTTACAATAGTTATTAATTAAATACCTTATTTTTAAATTTACAAAGAAACATTCCAATTTACGCTACAATAAGTTTTACAAATTATTTTATTGAA